AAGAAAAGCATCCTCCTGTCCCGCGCCCACCGCTAGGTTCTGTTTTCCTTCTCGGTCCCTCTCCCTCTACCACACCGGTGATGCACGGCTCAGACATGGGTACTCTGGGTAAGGGAAGCGTGTGGAAGGTCTGACAGACCTGGGAAGGCTCCCGCACAGCTGAGCAGTCTTTCTGGAAAGTCTATCAATCAATCACCCAGGAGGCAGTGATGGCTGCATTTGTAGCTCATGTTATTTATTTATTTATTTTTTGGTGTTCTCTGACGTTCACTCACTCACACCACGAGCCACGATTTTCCAGGACTTCTTAAAATCTCCAAGTAGGTCACCCTGGGCTGACCCCATCATCTCGCTGCTCCTATGGGGCCCTGGCTGCTTCCGTTCACAGGCATCTCACGGGATGCACCTGCACGTGCTCTCGGCCTCCTCCACAGGCATTAAGGCGCACTGATGAGCAGAGGGGAGGGTGAGCCCTTCCGGCTCCTTCCAGCAGGCACAGCACGGGCTGATCCTCTCCAGCCAGGAGGGACGGAGCGTCTTGCTCACAGGGAACAGCGCTTACCCGTTCGGGTGTTAGCCCAGACACTGACTAGACATGAGCACCCTGGGATGTGGATCAGAGGGTCGGGTCGAGAGGCTTCCGATTTTGTGGACAGTCATGAATTCAACCAAGGCTCTAGTATATGCAGGGTGTGTTCATTCCTTTGCTAAGTGAAGAAAATGCAATCTAAGTCTGCCCTGCTTTCTGCTCTCAGCCTAGTAACAGGACAGACGTGCCAACAAATCATCCAGCACCACGTGCTCCGGATCACACCCGAGGAACGGAGCCGTGAGAAGTCAGAAGACAGGCTGCGGCAGGACCTGCAAGGATCGGGGACACCTGAAGGGCATCCACGTCTGTTTCAGGCGTCCCATTTCCTCAGTGTCCAGGGAAATGTGTGGACCTTCCTTCTTTAAAGAAAGTAACTATGAGAGCATGGAAGTCCTTTAGCAAATAACCAGCTTCCCTGTGTTTGAGAAGCCGCTTCACGGCCATAAGAGTCCCCCATCGTCCCTAGGGTGCCGCAGTTCTGAGAACCAGAGAGTCTCGGCGCAGTCTGCAAAGGCTATCGGAGACTTCCTAGTACCCCCTCCACCCGCCAGAGCCAACCTCTGAGGTTCTGCCACGACAGCTCTGAGCCAGACCTGCAAACACCCCAGGCCCCTGCAAGGCTCGGAACTGGACTTTCCAGTGATGACGCTGACCCTGGGTTCCACCAGCAGGCAAGGCCACTTATTGGCACTGGGTGGCATGAACTTTTGCTGTGCTGCGTTTATCCTGGTGGATCTGAACGCACGTCTCTGTTTCTTGAGACCTTCGTTTCTGACTGGCTCATGCTGAACAACACCCCTGAGGTTCGTCGGCTTTGCTACTGTAACAGACACCTGAGATGATCAATTTGCAAGCAGAAAACATTCTTGTGGGATCACAGTTTCAGGGGTTCCAATCCACGGCTGGTTGCCTCAGTGTATTCAGGCCTGCAGTGAGGCAGGAGATCATGGGGGGACACCTCCCAGACAAAAAGATAGACACCACATGGCCAGGGAATGGAAAGAATGAAAGGAGACTGGGGTCCCACCATCCCCTTCAAGGGCACATCCCCAATGATCTGAAGACCTCCCACTAGGCCACGCCCCCTGAAGTCCCACCATTTCCCAACAGTGACACCCTGGGGACCAAGACTGAACACGTGAGCTCTGCATGATCTGTTTGGTGTGGGGAGGGCGGGGGCGGATCCTGGGAACTGAACTCAGGGGCACTCAACCGCTGAGGCCCACCCCCAGCCCTATTTTGTATTTATTTAGAGACAGGGTCTCACGGAGTTGCTTAGCGTCTCACCATTGCTGAGGCTGGCTTTGAACTCGTGATCCTCCTGCCTCAGCCTCCCGAGCCTCTGGGATGACAGGCGTGTGCCACCAGGCCAGCCTGGGGGATATTTAAGGTCCAGAGTATATCAATAACCAATGGTGAAAAGAAATCCTTCCTACCGTCTTAGAAATACGCTTGCACCCACGGACGTCCTGTGAAGCCTTGTAAATCAACACGCCTGGGTGAAACCCCCCGAGTTCTTCTGGTACATGCCTATTCTGGGCCAGGCCGCCCTAGATCCCAAAATCAAAACTGACACCCACCGCGGGGCTGGGGATGCAGCTCAGGGGCAGAGCACAAAGCCCCGAGTCTAATCCCCAGCACAGCAAAAAGACAAAGGAAAACCTGACATCCCTGGGAGAGTCTAGCAAGCACGGCCTCCGCACGGCCAGAGGAACTGAAGGTCACAGCTCTTCGGAATTTGGGGTCAGAAGTTTTGCTGAATGTCATCAGCAGGCAGGTCGCAACGTCTCATCCACCGAGCTCCCTGATGGCACGCGGCATGTTCCGGAAAGCAGCGCTGAGACGGCGGTGAGGCTGTGACCTGCTTTCTGAGTCCGACAACTGACAGGTTTCACGAGAAGGTCGAGGAGGTCGTCTGCACCACTGTTGAGACGACCTCCTCCTGAGTGGGCCAGGCAGGTGCGGGACCTCTGCGTTGCCATACTCAGCTGGGTGACATGGGAACCCAGCGTGATCTATTTGGAGGGGTTTTCATTACCGTAGATAAACGGAGCAGTTCTGCTCTCTCAAGCGTCTTTAAGAGACACCCAGCATGGCCGAGTGGCGTTCACAGGAGTCCAGGCCGAGACCTGGAAAGCCCGGGTCAGACACTATGCCGATGCCTTTTCGCAAGGGAAAGAGCCGCTCTCTATCAGCAAGGGGACTAGGCAATTTATCATCTAGACCGTGACACCAAAGAACAGGGGGGTGCCCTCGTTAAACGGGATACTGAGCAATAGAAGGATGTCCACTGGAACTGCCAGAGCCAACCGATGGCCCCCTGGCTGTCAGAGAACACACTACAATCATCCTGGGAGAATGCGGCACCCACACACATAAGCACACACGTTACCTGCACACACACACACACACACACACACACACGTGTGACTATATCACACACATACACGCATGTTCGAGGTGCTACCCCCAGACCAAGGGAACCAGATTCCTGACGTGGGGGGGATCTTAGGCATTAACAGTTTTTAGGTGCTCCCCGCAAGTGATGCAAATACACAGCCGGGTGGGGGCCACCCATGCCTTCCCAGCTACCAGCTTGGGAGAGTATGATTCTAGAGGATGCTCTTTGTGTAACTGCACACCACGACTGAAATACGGCAGATCTTCCGTGCCCACCAAAGGTCCCTGAGTTAAAGGTCCTCGACGTGGTGCTATTGGTGGGGGAGGGGGGGGACCTTCAAGAGGCCTAGTGGGAGAATCGCACGCCCTGAGGACGTGCCCCTGAAGGAAGACTGTGGGACCCCAGACCACACTCTCAGTTCCCGGCCACCCTGAGCTGAGAAGAGGTCTGCTCCCCCATCTGCTCCCTGCCGTGACGTGCCTTCTCAGACCCAGAGCAAGGGACCGAGAGATCATGAACTGAGTCCACAGAACCTTTCTGCTTTCCAAGCTGATTACCCAGAAACCTGACTAGCATGACTACACCAAGCTCAAAATATGAAGTACCAATACCAGCCTTCGTTCCTGAAGAACTCACAGCATTGTATAAACAATACTGCCCTTGGGTTTTCATTGTCTAGTCTCACATTAACCCAATAATTAAGCTCCGCTGGCTGCTACTGTCAGCTCTTCCTATGTGAGGAGATTGTTGCTTAGAAAGATTCGATGCATCATTTGAAGTTAGTTAATCAAAAAACACAAGTAGGCACTGCGCCCTTGTCCCCCGAGTCTAAACGGTGGCAGGGGAGCGCAGGTGCGGGCCCTCCTTCTAACTGGGTTTGACCTTCACCGCTGGCGTTCATCAACTCCACTGACAGTCACTTCAACAGCCAAAACATCACCTCTAAAACTGGGATGATGTTAATCGCTGCTTCACGGTGTTGCAGACGTATTCCACGGGGGGGTCTCGGGGACGAGCCCGGTAAATATTCACCATTCCACCACCTCTCGGCACGACTGTGGCTCCTCCTCCATCTCTTCTCCCTCCTTCCACTCTCATAATCACTACCACTATGATCACAACCAGCATAATAACCCCCACTTACTACAGTCTAAATGTCCCCCCTCCCCAAAATACACTATGTTGAAATGTTCGCCCCAAAGTGATGGTATTAGGAGGTGTGGCCTTTGGAGCTGATTGGGTCATGAGAACGGCATCTCACAAATGGGGTGTCCTTATAAAAAGACCCAGAGAGCCCCCTGCCCTTCCACCATGTGAGGGACCCAGGAGAAGGTGCTCCCTATGGGCCAGGAAGCAGTCTCAGCAGACCCCGAGTCGGCCCCTCCTGCACCTTGAACCCCCAGTACTCCAGCTTCCAGTCCTATGAGAAGTTTCTGCTGTTATAAGGTACCAGTTAGCAGCGTTTCTAATAGCAGCCCAGATGCACGAAGACACTTTCTGTGCAGGATACGCAGCCCTTTTAATACACAAGCTGAACTGTAAGAAAACCCTTTGAACTAACCTTTACCTTCTCAAATAAAATAAACCCCACAGGAAGAGTGTTAAAATGAGACACTTGGTGAACACAGACACCCCCCAGACACAGCCATGGTCAACTCTGGCGATCCCTGTCACGTCTGCCGCTGGACCAGAGTCCAGCTGGATGAAGGGGTGACAGATCTGAGGCTATTCCTACCCACTCCCCCTCCTCTCCACACCCCTTCCTTCACAGGTATCACGTGCAAAGCCTCCAGGTGCAAAGCAACCGCATGCAACACCGGCCCACCCCAGGCAACCCTGGCAAGGGCAGGGGGTCGGGCCCTACCTACCAGGGAAACACCAGGAAAAGTAAACCCTGAGGAAGCGGGTCTCGCACTCAGACACCTGGATGTCGAGCAGAACTAGAATCTCCCGTGGCCGATCCATCGCAGACTGCCTCACCTCATCATTTCCCACGAGTTCACTTACTTGGAAACTCCTGTTGAGCTATGAGACCTGCTGGCTTGTCTGTCTTTCCGTCAGAGGGCCGATAACATAAGCTTTGGAACAGACAGTGATTACAGACCATGCTCCACTCACGTCAGCAAACTGACTCTGTGATGCCACATCAGCTCAGAGATTCGGATATTTTAGTATTGCCAGATCTGTGAATTGCACGAAAAAATGCATGAGAATTCTAAAACGTATTCAGTCCCAAGGAACGCGAGTCCTTCGGGGCCTCTCTTTTATGTACAGAAAGAAAAGGGGTCTCAGTTACTGCCTTTCCACCTTAGCCATTTCACTTTGTCCTCGTTGTAGTAACTCCTATTCGTCAATGTTTAATATTCTGAAAATAATCAAAGAGCTTCATGCTAAGTAGTCAACATGAAATATAAGTCTGATCCACTACTCGGGTCGTAACAGTCATCTTGTCACCGTTTCGATAATAATAATAATTAAAACAGACCTGGGGCTGGGCTCACTGCTGGAGCACTTGCCTGGCGTGTGTGAGGCACTGGGTTCGATTCTCAGCACCACATACAAATAAATGAATAAAATAAAGGTCCATCAACAACTAAATTTTTGGGGGGCTTTGTTTTTGTGGTGTTGGGGATTGAACCCAGGGCCTTGTGCATGCAAAGCAAGCACTCTACCAACTGAGCTAGATCCCCAGCAAAAAATACATTTAAATAAAAGACAAATAGTATCTCAAGCTTCTCATACCTGTTAACTTGTTTAGCCTTATGGACTTTCTGTAATTTGGCTGGAATCATTGCCCACAACGTATAGATTACGAAACTGAGGCACAGAGAGGGTTGGAAGTCTCACAAGGCACACGGCCATAGGCACGAGGGCCTGAATTAAACCCGCAGTCTGCACGAACTAGGGAGAACAAATGCTCATCCACCTCAAGCCAGGCCAATGAAACTTGTGGTCCGAGTGTGTGTACACGTGTAAAAGTATCAAAACGAATGCTAACGGGGTATTTTAAACTGAACTAAACTTACACACACACGTATATACACACGGAGAGTGAGCTGATTTAAATCACTGTACCTGAATTCTAAAATCTACGCGTGTTCGTTCGGCTTTCGGCAAAGCACTGCCCTTGAAGGTTCAAGCCACACTCGGGCTGTCAGTAATCCTATCCCAACCTGTCCTGTCTCACATGGCCTCTTGCAGCTGAAGGGTTCTGGGTGCCATGTCCTCAATCAGCAGGTGGCACGGATAAGCTGGTCTGGCACTCAGACCACCTGGACGCAGAGCAGAACTAGAATCTCCCAGTGGCGCATCCATCCTTCCGTCAGAACTTAGACAGTGACCCATAAGTACTCACTGAGCACCTACTGCATGCCAGCCTCTAGGCAAAATCCTTGGGATGTGAAAAGCTCATTGACCTACCATGTTCACCCTCATCTAGACAGAAAGATCCCAAGGACGTGAGGTGGTCGCACTCGCCTCTCTGTAAGATATTCCACAAAATACCTTTAAACCCACAAGACATTCCCAAGGAGCCTCCCCTTCTCCTGGGACTGTGATACGGTCCCAATTAATGTGCCTGGGCAGCTCTTCCCCGCCGTCCACACTGGAATTCCGCGGGCCACTATTCAGCGCACCAGTCACATGGTTTCTACCTGGGACCTGACCCCAGGGACTGGCTGGGTGGGGTCTCTCCTGGCCCTGGTCCACCTTCCACAGGGGACTCACACACCCCGACTGAGGGGCTGGTCATCATCTATCCCCCTCCCTGGACTACGGCCCCCAGGGTCATTCATCACTGTGACCACGTGCTTCTCTAGGACACACTCAGCTCTGTGGATACCCAGAGGTAAGAAAAAGCAGCGTGCAGAGCGCTGTCGGCCAGTTCTCCGAAAAACACCTTCCAACACCCGCCTCCTCGGATCAGGGAGCCGATACTGAAGCTCTTGGCCCAAAAACCACCTGCCTGAAAGTTCTGACAGGGTGTTTGAAAATACATCGCTTTATAGCAGCCATGTCATTCCGACAATTAATATCGCCAGCACAAAGGCTCCTGGAATGTTATAATTTATTGAGACACCAATTCCAACACTGCCGGTTGTTAGCAGGAGGTAAGAAATCATTTGGGAGGTGAAAAACATCATAAATACTCAAACAAGAATCTCTCATATAATCGCTGGCTCCTTTTGGTTCACAATTATCTCCTAAAATGATACCCATAAATCTGGGTTATGATAAGATGCCTAGACGCAAAAGACACTGCATGTAATTAATGGCATGAGATCGCTGACCATCTAATCACTTCAGTTACTGGTGTTTCTCTGGTTAGATCATATCTTATATTGGCAACATCGCATGGAAGGCTTCGGGGCAAAGTCTGGGGAAGAGATTTCCACAATTTGAAAATCACAAAATATGCTTCCCCGTGTGCGTGGAGATACGTCATCTGTGTCGTTTTCGGGGGTAGTCAAACGTTTTGTGACCTTTAAGGTTTCTCTGATGAACCCACGTCTTTGAAAATTGAGGAAAATATTTCACTTCTTAAAACTAAACTTAAACTCCAACAGGAACAGAAAGAACTTACACTTGTTTTCACAAAGTAAATGCGCCCCCTTGAGTGTGTGTGTGTGTGTGTGTGTGTGTACACGTGTAAAAACGCAGCTGTAGCACCTATGTTCCTTTCATGGATTCTTTTTCATAAGGATTCATCTACGTTTTGTTTTTGTTTGTTCTTTTTGGATATTCAGGACAGTGCAGTGTCTTCTGACATATTGCACACAGAGGCACTCACGCTCTTGCCCTGCAGATTCCCGCTGCAGGAGCTCTGACTTGGGAGCCCACTGACAGGCACTCAGGCTAATCACTGTACAACACTGATGCCACTTAATGAGCATTCATGACTTTTATTCTCTTTTCTAACCTGATTTTCTTCACTTAAATAAAAGTTTTCCAAAATGCGCTGATGAGAATGACTGATATTCAGTGAACATGGTAAACAGAAATGAAAAGTAAAAACACTAAACAAGTAGCTATCCTCCATGACCACTGGATTTTCATCACAGCAGAACCAAACGCATCTCTCTTTGAAATCAGTAGGTATCGGATTTCAAGAGTCAAGATAACGGAAGGACTGAGCGGCAGGAGGGAGAAGGCGGCCAGCCCTGGTGCAGGTTGGTTTGTCTGCTGCCCACCTCCTCATCTCATCCTGAGACTCTGATGGTGACCCACCTAAGGCAAAGCAGCCCTCAGATGGAGTGGGCCCAAAACTGCTCTGTCACCCTTCTGCGGAGACGATCTGGTGGGTGGTAATATGCTGGGGCCGCGGCTTTCTGGAAGGTCTAGGCCCACCTGACCCCGAGACCCTCTTCCAAGCCTGGGGATCAGCTCCCGGTCAGTGACTTGCCACGGCTGGCTCATGGGCCGGCAGGGGGCAGACTGGAGACAGCCCCCCCACAAACACACACCAGGCGAGGAACATCTTGAGGCCAGACACAGGTCAGAAGCACCTGGGGTGGATTTTGGTGGGATCACGCACGTCATCTTGGAGGACACACTACCACTCTTCGCAAAGCCACTCATTAACTAAGGGCAAACATTCCTGAGACTCTGCAGCCCTTAATGGCTCGTATCATCATAATTGAGTTGCTTGGGGGGAGAAAAAAAAAAAAAAAAAAATCAAGGAGCAAATTTTTCTCGATTGTTTGAGAACAATCACTGGATAACGTGAGGGAAGGCACGGACCACGATGACAATGATAACAGTTTCTCCACAGAGCACGTAGCGGGAGCAGCTTGTGTTTGCTGCCTGCTGGTGCCACGGTTCAGAGGGCAGCTCAACAGGATGCATCAGGTAAGGGCACACACTGTGTCTCCTTGTTATATATCTCACGGTGAATGTGCAAACCTCCCCCAAACTTCCAAAAACTCTGAGATCTGAAACACTCTGGTTCAAGCGTCCCTGAAACACCTGTGGTAAGGGAGGTCACCCGTACTCCCAGGAGACAACAGGAGCAAGGAAGCCTCGTCTCGCTTTCCCACTCACACACTTGAGGCGAAGGGAGGGACACAGCGGAAACACTCGAGAGTTCCTCTTCCTCCCCATCTTTCCTCACTCGGCAGGTGCAGGGGGTTGGATCAAGAGGTGACTGAAGCCCACCCGGCTCCCTCTGCGCGGCACCCTCGCGTCTGGTGAGAGCCACGTGCATATACATCCCTGTGTGGCCTGCACAGCCCACTGCTCCTCGGCTGACCCCACGTCCCAGCTCAATGCTCTGAAACTTGCCCTTAAAACCAGCGTCACACCCTGTAAACAGCAAGGCAAAGTGCCAGTCATTTAGGATTTTAACTGTTCTTCACTTAGAGGTTAAACGGCCATTCAAATGTCTCTGAGAAGCGGAGGGAGGCAGATGGGGAGGTAAGGAGATGACCGCACCTCTCCCCCAGCTGAGGCTCCCGGCCGGCACACTGCCCCTGCAGACCTCCACACCAGCAGGGTGGGTGCCCAACAGGAAAGGGGTCCTGAAAGGAAGGCCCCTGGGACCACGAGAACACTCCTCGTCTCTCTGTGGCTCCCTGAGCCATCCTTAAAATCAAGTAGCAGTGCAGGATTCCCCTCACGGGGTGCTCGGGAACACTAAGTGCACCAGCATCTGTAAGGAGGTGTCATGTGGGGTGTCCCCAAAAGCTCACGTGTGAGACAATGCAAGAAGGTTCCCAGGAGAGATGACGGGGTTGTGGGAAACCTGCCCTTCAGCGACGTCATCCCCAGTGGGAATAACGAGTGGAACTGAAGGGGTGGGGTGTCGCTGCAGGAGGTGGGCCCTGGGGACGCGGCTTTGGGGTCTGTATTTGTACCTGGCAAGCGGAGACCTCCCTCTCTGCTTCCTGACCATCGTGTGAGCTGCTTCCCTCGGCCACAGTCCCTCGGCAACAAGAACGTTTGCCTGTGTTGGCAGGACGGTGGGACGAAGCGTGGTTCCCTTTCTACAGTTACCTTGTGAGCATTTTCATCCCTTACAGAATCTGACTTTTTTCTAGGATAAAACTATGAAAATGTGGTCACTGTGGTGACAAGCAAATTTTCTAATTTCTGGAGTATATAGATGTGAATACTAAACTTCAAGAAAAGAGCTTTTTGAAGAACGGTGAACTACAGTACCCTTGGGTTTTAGAGTTGCTAAGTAGGA